ACTTCCGTTATTATTCTGAAGAAATACAGCATGGTTGCTAGGCATCATTCATTCTTTCCACACATATTTGTTAAATATCTATTGCAGCTAGAGGACCACTGAGATATGGAAGGTACACAAAGCATTACTCATCCCTTGTCCCGATGCACAGGGGATATAAATTTCTCCTTGGAATCTACTAGAAGTTCCTTAGTGCAAACAGACAATTCTAATGGTTATTCTATTTCACCGATGGCTGTGTCTCCTCTTCCTTTATTCTCCATGATGAATTTAAAATAAGAGAGTTTTCAAATCCATACTTGATGAAGTAATTCCACTTCCAGGGACCTTGGTTTCTTCATCTGCAAAATGGAGATGGTAATCTCCCAAAGTTGTTAAAATTAAGTGTCATGTCGCTAAAATTAAGTGGTAATGGACACGCAGTGCCCGAAGCACAACCAGCACTCAACAAATTGTGTCTATAGTTATAATTATTATTCTATTAACACCATTTCATTCTGCTCACATAAGCTGGAACACATTTTTTTTTTTATCCTTCCCCCAACCTACACAAAATCAGTTATCAAGTTCTGTTGGCTTTTCCTTGAACATGTTCATCATGATTGCCTTTCCTTTTCCTGTCTACTGCCACTTTCCTAATTCCTCTTCCTTATGTCATCAACTCTTCTCCCAAAATTTGGTGTTGGGACATCAGTAGGCTATTCATAGTTAAGCTTAGGGGGGAGTCAATAGTAACATGAGGATTTTTGAGTGCATGGGGAGCAGGCGCCCCTAATCCAGCCAAGTGTTCAAGGTCAACTGTATGTTCAAGGTGCTTTATTGTTTTAATCACCGCAACTGTCTGACCTCAATACCTATGCTTTTACTTATCACTCAAAGCTTACTTCTAATCACTGTAATTGGGCTGCTCTGCTTATCACCCCTCACAGGGCATCTAGGACATGATATCTCAGCTATAGCATTACATATATATTGAAATATATTTTGGCAACCCTACAGAGTAATAATGAAAAGCATAAGTATTGACATGGGACAGTTGTAATGATTAAATTAATACTGCATGTTGAATATACAGTTGACTCTTTTTTTAATTAACAATGTTTAATGTTTATTTCTTTTTGATAGAGAGAGAGAGACAGAGCTCAAGTGGCAGAGACAGAAGCAGACAGAATTTGAAGGAGGCTCCAGACTCTGAGCTGTCAGCACAAAGCCCAACATGAGGCTCGAACCCACAAACCGTGAGATCATGACCTAAGCTGAAGTCAGACACTCAACCCACTGAACCACCCAGGTGCCCCATGAATATACAGTTGACTCTGGAACAACATGGGGGTCAGGGGTACAAACGCCTTGTGCAGTTGAAAATCCATTAGTACTTTTGACTCCCCCCAAACTTAATTACTAATAGCCTACTTTTTTAAAGATTTTACTTTTTAAGTAATCTCCACACTCCACATGGTGCTTGAACTCATGACCCCGAGATCAAGAGTCACACGTTCCATCGATTGAGCCAGCCAGATGCCCCACTAATAGCCTACTGTTGACCAGAAGCCTTACTGATAACATGAGTTGATTAACATGTATTTTGTATGTTATATGTATTATCATATGTATCATATATATATTCTTTTTTTTTATGTCATCTGTGGCTTTTCACCATTCTTTATTCTTTTTTTTTGTTTGTTTGTTTTATTTATTTCTAGGAGAGAGAGAGAGAGAGAGACAGCATGAGCAGGGGATGGTCAGAGAGAGAGGGAGTCACAGATTGAAACAGGCTCCAGGCTCTGAGCTGGCAGTCAGCACAGAGCCCGACGCGGGGCTCGAACCCACGAACCGCGAGATCATGACCTAAGCGAAAGTCAGAAGCTTAACTGACTAAGCCACCCAGGCGCCCCTGTATCATATATATATTCTTACAATAAAGTAAGCTAGAGGAAAGAAAATGGTATTAAGAAAATCATAAGAGAAAATACAATTATAGTACTTCACTGTGTTTATTAAGAAAATCCACCTGTTCAGTTCAGACTTGTGCTGTTGAAGGGTCACCTGTAATACCTAATCATACTAAAGCACTCAATAACTAATTTTTTGTTCTCTCCCTCAATAAGTTTAAGAAATGTTTGTTTATTATATTTGAGAGAGAGAGAGAGAGCAGAGGAGGGGCAGAGACAGGGGAACAGAGGATCTGAAGCAGTCTCCACACTCATAGCAGCCAGCCCGATGTGGGGCTTGAACTCATGAACTGTGAGATCATGACCTGAGCCAAAGCCGGACGCTCACCTGACTGACCCACAGAGGCGCCCCTCAATAATTTTTTACAGATTTTATTTTTAAGTAATCCCTGTGCCCAACACGGGGCTTGAACCCACGACTCCTAGATCAAGAGTCCCATGCTCCTCCAACTGAGGCGCCCTAAGCACTCGCTAAATATTAACTGTCATTAATACTATTGGTATGGACATTTCTTATTTCTCCATTTTTTATTTAAAAAAAACAGATTTATTGAGATATAATTCATATTACCATAAAATTCACACCTACAAAGTGTAGTTTTCTCTACACAGGGATTCTGGTTTTTAATATTTTAAAATATTAAAATATTTTAATTGCCCAATCATCACCTCTCTATTTAAATTTAGGACATTTTCGTGACCCCAAAAAAGAATGTTCCCAGATGACAATGACCTTCTGGTATCGATGGTTCCTTTTCTAATACGTTGCCTGGAGAAGCTTTATTAGATTTTTCCATTAAAATTACTTGCTCCCATACTGATTTCATATAGGCTCTGGTTTGATTTTTATTACCAAAGGTGAGATAATTTCATAATTGTAAGGGATACTCACTGTGATTGACATACAATTTGAGGATATCGCTTTGTGCTCAACTTTTTATTAGTGGGGATTTAAAAAAAAAACAGTGTATAAGTATGTGAATAAAACAGTTGTTATTAAGTAATTGCATCATAATTACAATGAATACTCCCTATTGCATGCCCTCATGCCAATAAGTGCCAAGTAGCTTGTTAAAAACTGCTTTGAAATCCTTTCATAAGGGCTCCTTATGCTGCCAAACTTGTTTTTGATAGTGATTGGGAAGGAGGTTGGAGTGCCATAAAGAATAACATTTTATTTGAGAATCTCAAAACACCTGGCAGGGCTTTCTCCCATTTTGAAGGTTGGGTAAACTGAGGTTTACAATGGTTCAACTCATTTCCTTTAGCTGGACTGCCCTCCAGGAAGAGGGTGGGCAACACAATACAACATTTTATATTCCAGTATATTCTGGGCTTTTCCTAAGTCATTCATCTGCCCTTTTCTCTTTTGGCCATGGTGACTGCATAGCCAGTCAGATTTCTCCTCTCACCTTGCCTAATGAAAAGATTGGAGGCAAGTGTGTGATCTACCTGGACTTCAGCTGTGAGTTTCTTATTATCATTGATACCCCCCCCCCCATTGATTCTATTAAAATCTTTTTTCATGCTTTCCTACCCATTCTCAATTTGAGTCATCTTGTTCAAATCCGTATTATCTTTTTAAGCACTTTAAGGCTCTTTGCATAAACATGGGCAATGAACCCAGGGCTAATTGTTACACGATTCACACTTTTCCATTAGATCCAGGCAGGTTGCATGGTTGAAACGCCAGGTTTTTGGAGGGACCCACACTTTGGTTTGAATTCCAACAGTTAATAACTACGGGACCCTTGGACAAGTTATTTAATCTTTTTGAGTTCCCTCTTTGCAAAGTGAAAATCATACCCCATAACTCACAGAGACGTCTCGGGGATTAAATAAGTCTTGTAAATTACTTGGTGCATAGTAGGCATTCAATAAATGTCAGCTCGTTTCTTATTCCAGTTAATAATGCTTATTAGACTATATTAAAAACTAGAAGCAGACTGTGATAATGCATTTCTTTATTAAGTATTTAAGCCAAATAACTAATTTCCCCCAGGGGAAGGGAGAGAGATGTTGAATTAGATTCATTTGGTGGACTTATTTATTAATCTTTTCTTTCTTCAACATTATTTTGTTTCATAGTTCATGATGTAGTTTTCATGCAGCACCAATGCCACCGTTCAGCATTCCTTTAAACTCGACTGTGATCTTTAAGAAGCTCTATTATTACATCCGCCGTGTATTAGAGGTCATTGTTAGTTACATTAACAGCTCGGGCTGTGTTTCGTAACTACTTTGTGCTGACAAACTTTTGCTCTCCGGTTTCCCTGAGGTCTAAGGATTTACAAGGATCCGGTTTTCAATTGCAATGGTACAGCAGGAGAAAACAGGGGTGGGGAGCAGACTCACACCGCCTGCGTTCTCGGCTGTCAATACCACACTTTTGCATTGAAGGGGGGCCACGTTCTCCTCAAGGACGGCAGCCAAGCGAGGCGGGCGACAGGACCGGGCAGTAACTGAGGCGGAGCCCCGGTGCCGCGGCACCTTTAAGGACCGGAGACTTGGCACTAGCCCGGCCTCCTTCCCGGCCCACCTCTGAACTCTGATTGACAGGGCGCCGGGCGAGGAGGAGCCGAAGGAGGCCGAGGGGAGGGGCAGGGAGGCGCGCGGGGGGAGGAGGGCCCTTCTTCCCGCCGCCGGCCAATCAGGGCTGGGGGGCGGGGCCTGCGCGCCTTCCTCCCTCCTTCTCTCCCCCGCCCCCCCGGCTTCCCCGCCCCCTCCCCTCTCCTTCTCGCCCTCCTCCTCCTCCTCCTTCTCCTCCTCCTCCTCCTCGCAGGCTGTGGTTTTTCTGTATGTGTTTCTGGAGTCCTGAGCCTGAGCTAAACAAAAGCAGGAGGCTGACGGGGCTGCCGGAGTTTGCAGAGACACGGAGGAGGAGAGAGGCTGTGCTCTGCCTGCCGCCGCGGCCGGGGGAGATCTGGCTTTTGCAACAGCCCACCCCCTTTGAGATCACTCTGGCCCGGAGTGGGGGTGGGGGGCAGCGGGGGGTGGGGGGGAAAGTTTGCATTGCAATCCCCCTGCCTTCCTCTCCTTTCTCCCGATCAATGCATATTTGCAAAAGGATTAAGCCACAGATTTAAGCGCCGGGAGCCCATTTCTGCCTTGCAAAGGAGACCGGACTGAAAAGCCAAAAGCCAGCTCTGATTTCTTTTCGTCAAGTGGGAAGGTGGTTTATTTTTCTTGCTTTTTGGAGTCAACACCCTTCCCCACCAGCCCTTATCCCCACCCTCACCCCGCAACCCCTTCACGCCCCCCTCCCCCTCCCCACTCCCCATCCTCCCACCAGCCTCTAAAAGAGGCAAAGGGATTTTTTTTTTTCTTTTGGTCTTCTTTTTTCCCCCCTTCCCTGTTTATCCTGAAAAGGATCTGAAGCCAGCTTGAAGGATAAAAAGCCTTGGTGCTGCCCAGGAGCCGAGCCGAGGAGAAGAGGAAGAGCCGGGGGCCGCCGTTGCCTTTGGAGATGGACGAACAGCCCAGGCTGATGCATTCCCATGCTGGGGTCGGGATGGCCGGACACCCCGGCCTGTCCCAGCACTTGCAGGATGGGGCCGGAGGGACCGAGGGGGAGGGCGGGAGGAAGCAGGACATTGGAGACATTTTACAGCAAATTATGACCATCACAGACCAGAGTTTGGATGAGGCGCAGGCCAGGTGAGATGGAGGCTTTTCTTTTCCTTTCTTGGGGTTTTTTGTTTTTCTCCCTCTCGCAGGGGGAAACAATGGGAACCGAATCAGCACAGCGCTTTCTTTTTAAATGTTATTTCTTTTCCCCTTTTGACGAGCAACTACATGGCGGAGGAGTAAAATTGGAAGGAGCGTTGTTATCGAAAGTGTGTAATCGCCCATGCCGAGATGTGCCTGTGTGTGTGTGTGTGTGTGTGTGTGTGTGTGTGTATGAATATAGAGATATTCATATATGTCCACACAAACACTCAGGCACGCCGAAAATACTGCCAACGGATCCAAAAGCGGCCCTCGGCACTTTTTACTGCTTTAAAAAAGTATCAGAGAGAACAGAATTGACAAGTTTCGAACAGCATTCTGTGCCTTCTTGTTGAGGGACTCCTTAACATTACAAAATAAAATGTTCCAATAACACTTTATTTGCAAATTTAGTGACTCCTCACCTAATTCAGAGACTTTGGCTTTTCTTTTTTGACGTGCTCCTCCAAAATTAATTTGGATCTTTTCCTCTTTCTGCCCCCTTAAAAAAAAAGCAGCTTAATTCTTTGTCAGTACTTGTCAGCTATCCAAAAAATATTTTGCATTCACTTGGTTCTGTTTCAGAAAAAGCTAATGGGAAAGAAGGAAAACATGATTTTGCTTTGAGGCATATTGGTTAGTTTCAGGAGACTCAGATATTCAGTTTAACTTTATTGTCTCTTAATTTGAGTCAGTTTACCAACGTGCTGTGAATGTATGGTCCTTTTAAAAAAAAGGGGTGGTGGGGGGGACAAAAATCAAGCATGTTTTTTTCCCATGCTTTTTTTCAGGGCCACTTAGGATGCACAGAAATAGAAATGAAGGCATGTGTGAATTTCATGTATTTTCAGTGCTATAGGACAGGAAGGTCTTTATTAAGGAAACACAATAAAGAAGCTGTGTAGCTTCTCAAGTTAATCCATTGCTAGGTAGACAGTTCAACACTCCAGGATTTTACAGTAAATTCTCTTCAAAACAAAATGTAGAGCCAATGGCAACCCACTAACAGCTTGCCCAAGGCCGATCTCAAAAAGGAGAATTTAAAAAATCTAATGACCACTTATGTCTTTACTGTTAATTACCCCCGCTTTGTTGAATCTCAGAAGTAGTTGTTTTTTTTAATATGTTCACAATTCCTATGCCCCAAATGACTCAGTTATGTGGAAAAGACATTATTATATGTATTTTTGTCTTAACGGGAATAAGGAATTTGAGTTGAGAAAATGAGAAGCGTTGGATGTTAGGAATTATACCCTTATTTTAGCTGCAGGCACACGCAACATGTAAACTCAAGAAGTACTGAGGTTTACGTGTGCTGGAAAACTTAGAAATGCTCGAAGCCAGGAACTATGCTTCATTTTTTTTAATGGGGGAAAGTTTCCAAAATTAATTGGTGCTCTTTTTGAATCGTATTATCTTTACTGAAGCTCATAATTACAGCAAAGTGGACGATTTCCCACTGGCCATCCCTTTTTGAATTGGAACAGATTTCTCCATTACATTGTTGCAGAAAAATAAACTCAGACATACCAGTAAGCTGGTTTAATAACAAGTTTGTGAAGTGGCAAGGGGCCGGGAAGGCTCGAGACTTCCCACTTTTCCTCATGCACGGCCAGTGCTCCCTTTTTGTATAACTGAGGACAGCCGTGGCTTGGCGGGTCTCCCCTGATAGTGGCCTAGATGCTGAGAGAGCTCAGACTCACATTTTGGGATAGGGAACTCTGTTTTCTCTCTACAACCCCATGGATGTGTTATGGAAATGGAGTATTTCTGGGAAGCCTTGTGGGGCTTTCTGTTGTTGTTGTTCTTGTTGATTTTTCCAATTGGGCCTCTATGTAAGAATACAATTAATGAAAACTATTTGAAAAGGCCCCCAAAGAGGTCTTTGATACAGTGAAGTATATTCTACCTTTTTTTTCCTCACCCCCCCATTGGAACTCAGTCACCCTTGAGCTTTCCTTTTGGTGAAACAATGTAACTCTGCTTAGCAAATACTATATCTGCTTTTCCTTTCCTTAGTTACATATTTCTAACATGCATTTATTATTTACAAAGTAAACCGTTAGAATTTTAGACACAATACATGTGTTTATTTTGATACTCTTGGATTCTGAGCTTATTCCTCCTCTGCTGAACAGTCTAGTGAGCATGCTTCTGGTTAGTTCATGAGGATGTGTGTCTGTTTTTTTTTTTTTTTTTTTTAACTTTCACAAGAATTAAAAAAGAATTGCATGTGTCTGGAGTGCCAGGGGTTTCCATTTGTCTTTACACATTAATTTCAGTTTGTAAACAGAATTCCCTTCACTGAGAGCTGATAGGATCAGTATTTTGTTTCCAAAACAATATCCTTCTGCTAAGTGCTTCCATAGTAAAATAAAGGGAAAGGTATTGTTTTGTCCCTTCAAGTGCATTCTGAATGCAAACACGCACAAGAACCAGGTAAATCACTAATCTAAAAGGCAGGATTGTATTCATTTTTTCCCCAATGGGTACAAGGTCCTAATTGTAAATAATTGAATTTCAACACCTGCAGATAAGCGGTGTGTGCACAAGAGGCGTAATGTGAACACAGAGAAATGAATTTATTCCCCATATGGGTATGTTTGCCCCGTGGCAATGCATTTCCATACTCTTTAACTTGGGGACTGAAATTTTATAAATTGACAGTTCTACTCAGAAGACCTTTCAAGCATCTTGTGTTTATGAGAATACAGGGGCATCTGCAGAATGAATTCGAACACATGGATGAATTAAATTTGAAAACACACACACAGACCAAGAGGCAGACAGCTCCTACGCTGTGGTGATTGCATAGATGATAGAAAACTGTTATCCTAGGCATTTAGCTTCGCCGTATCCATTGCCCTGGATGTAGGATTATTGGTTTAAGAATTCCACTTTGATTAAACTATTTAAAAAAAAAACCCAACTCTCCCTAAATGGGCATAATTTAGGTTAGTTCTGTTCTGTAGTTAAATCCCTACTCTCTCCCAGCTAATTAACGTTATTTCCTTTTCTATGGCGGGGCTCTGTATATTAAGTCATAAAACAATCGAAGCATGCCACAGAGTTATGCTTGGTATATAATTTTGGCTAAATGTTCAGATTTCTCCCCCTGTGCATTATCAGCAGTTTGATCTTGAAAGTCCACCTAAGCTATTATGTTGTTTCTTTCTTGCAGAAAACATGCTTTAAACTGCCACAGAATGAAGCCTGCCTTGTTTAATGTGTTGTGTGAAATCAAAGAAAAAACAGGTAGGAATGAGATTTCAACGTTTAAGCGTTTTCTTTGGCCGATTGACTCACTTAGCCAGCAATCACTAACCCATTACTTAAATATTAAAATTTCAGAATAAAAGTACTCTTAAGATTGATCGCGTATTCCAATAGGGAGTTCTAACAGCCCTGCTTCCTGGGAAAGAAAGCACCAAGTTTCCTTGACAGCTATTACCAAGCATTACTGGTTTATTTTCCTTAACTCTGTTACCAGCCTCTTTGAAATTGGGGCTAGGATCGAGGTTCTGCAGGGAAATTTATAGAACGGTGTGTCTTTTGGGGGAAAAATATGAAAGTAAAAGTCTGTTTCCTGAAGGAAGGTATTTTGGCCCATATTTAAAAGCCTAGTGTTTTTGGAGTTGGGCATGGGGGCTAAACTGTTTAAAGTTTCCTTTCCTTTTTTTCTTGTAATGGTACAAAGGATCAGGCTAGAGGTTTCTCGGCACTGTTGTCAAATACCTTTGTGGAAAACGCTATACAACATCAGGTAATCGGTATTTGAGTGCCCTGCGATTTTATAGCAGGGGGAAGCGTTGGGTTTGGGAGAAAATAATGCCATGAGATCACTCATTCTGTTGTTTTTCTACTTTCTAGACCTCATATCATGGACTAACACACTTATAACACATCCCAGGAGGGCATTTAAATTTTAAAGCAACAATTAAAAAATAGCAGTCATCAATCAGAAGTGTTCTTAAACAGCAGATGCTCTGGGAAGGACATTTAGCAACAGCCTCTTGTTTGTTTATTTTATCCTTCATTTTCCAAAGTGGCTGAATCTCTCCCTTGTAGGAAGAAAGAGATGAGAGGGCAATCCGAAACTAGGGCATAAAGATGAGGAACGAGGGGTGGTTATATAAAGCGGGAGCTTCTGCCGGCCTCTCTGACTTGCTCGCTCGTTTCAGAGCCGTGCGAAGTACCTGCCATCCCATTTATTTATTTATTTTTTACAACAAGGAGTGTAACAGTCAATAATTCATATCTAAACCATATAAGCAAGGGCATGACATGAATGAAAGTGACAATAAATATGATTGCATGCCCGGTTGATATACATTGATAGTTACACATAAAAAAGGGGTGGGGGTGAGGGCACTCAGGGTGGCTTTCTTTTTGAAAGCTCTCTGTGTTTCTCTTTTTAAAAAAATAAATAGTTTCAAGATGTGACCGTTGATCGAATATGTAATTACTTGGGTCTTGCAATCTATGTGAAATTAGCAAGCAGCTCCATTGTTGAATGTTACGTGTGTTGGGCACAACATTCTAGACAAAGCACCTGAGCAGTGATGTTCAGACCTTGGAGCCTTCTAGGTTGCCTTGCCAAAGCCTAACCTTACTGCAAAGCTGATAATTACATTATTTTAGCTGTGAAACGCCTCTTAGGAGATTTATGAATTGTGCATACAAATATCAAAGAGCTCTTACAGTTTGTCACACTTTTTAGCTTTTTTTTTTTCCTATTAGCCAGAGCAGGAAACCTGCGTGTATGTGTATATATATTTTTTTCCCTCTCCTTTTTTCTTCCTTCTCATTTTCTTTTTTTGATCTCTGATGTGTATTTACCTTGAATATTTGGTTTGTTGAAATTTGCTTCTAACTTAGTATGCTCTCCTGCCCATCTTGATTCATCAAATATATAGAATCAAGACATAAAGGCATATTTGATAATCCAGGCTAAAGCGACTCTATTTTTGAAGACACTTATCAGATATTTATGGAAAGGAAGCCCATCGGGGCACTTGAATGTATATTGTGGCCAAAGTGTTTAATTCTAGTCTTCTAATTAAAACCTACAAGGCAGTAGATCAAAGTGGGTGGGTGTGAACAGAGAGATCCGGTTCTGGTGTGGGTTAAAGAGTTTGTTCCTTATTCATACTGGCTAAACTACGGTGATAGGAAGCAGTGGTGTTGGTCAAAATAACACTTGAAAGGTGTAATCTATCATTGGATTGTATATTTTGCTTTTAAGATTAACTGTCCATTGATGAATTGATGTTTGGAGAATTTTAAAAACCCAAGTTCAGTTTCGGTGTGTTGTCTTTAGAATAATATATTTTAAAAAATAGTTTATGAAGTACTGTGGATTGAAAAGGACCCCTGCCCTTGTGTTAAAGGGGAAATATACATGTGCGCACACACATACACGTCATAGAGGTTTGGATTGACAGGGCACCCATGGGTGAAAGTTAAAAAAAAAAAGGAAAAAAAAGGCTTTCCTCCTTGGTTTTCTTCAACTTGCATGTTAGAAGGAGGGGAAGGAAGAAACGTCTCCTGGAATGCTGAGTGTTCTGCGTTATAGGTGGGAGACAACTGGCGTGTGGAAGAGAAGCCTTTGACTCTAAAGCATGATTACTCCGTCGCTCAGGATTTGCCCAAATCCCGGTCTCGGTGCCAGCATATCTCCCATGCAGTCGATGTGTCCGAGACACATCAAGTGTGTAAAGTTGCAGGAGCTTCCCCCCCCCCCACACACCCCCCCTCTTGATCCAGGGCTGGTAAGCAGGTCTGCTGGCTGGTCAGTTCCTATGCATTCCTGCATTGTTAGGGGACTTTCTCTATTGTTATTTCCCAGCCCCCTTGCTTCTAATGAGCATTTTTGAGTTTCCATCCCAAGCACTGTAGAGGTGACTTGGTTTAAGGTGGGCTGGCTTGTTTATTCTCACGCGAAGTTCCCACGGTTCGGCTCACCTAGGTATTTAGAAGGAAGACTGGACACTGAGGGGAGCAGCGGTAATGGCTTTTTACTGCTTTTACTTTTTTTTGGTTTTTGTTCATGGTTTCCGGTGGAAAGCTCAGAACTAAGCAGGGAAGATTGTCTTACCCACCTTTTGCAACTCGAAAAGAAACATGCGCACAACACCCGAAGTAGGCAGCACCGTCTAAATTACAGTTGATTGATGGGTATTTAAGTCAGAAATTACTGTGAGGATATTAAAAAAAAAAAAAAAACACACCATGTGTCTTCTTGCTTCAGAGTGTGGGTGAGTTTTTATTTTGATACCCTTTTGCTTTTTAAAAATCAATGCTAAGAAAAGAGAAGGCCTGCAGAATGCTCGGCGGCAAATCTCAAAAACAACAGCAAGGAAACCCGGGGTGGAGGGGGGCACAACAATGTGTATCTCACAAGTGGCTTTTCTTTGCTCTCTCCTTCTGGGATTGGAGGGATTTAATACGGAGTTTTGGGCCATTGAAGATCTTATTTTCTTTTGTGTTTAAGGAACTGTTCCTTGTCTTCCCACATAGTAGCAATAGGCTGACTTTGACCTAGGTGTATATGTGGGGGTGGGGGGGTGGGGGGGTGATGCGATGGAACAGAAGAAAAAAAAAGTCAGACACATTGTATCTCTTAAAAAGACCTTGCATATAATTTCAAATGTCTCTTGCTTTTTTTTTGTTTTTTAACTTTAGTGTCAAAAACCATGCAGGTTTAAAAATCAGGCAAACACTCCCAATATACTGGGTGCCATTTACTAGAGAGAGTATTTATAGATAGCAATGAAGAGCGGTAATTGTTGTGAATAGTTTTTAATTTTAGAACTTAATAGCTATATATGGCGTTTTCAGCCGATTTTCCTCTGTGAATTATCTGCGCTGAAGTTAAATCAAATCACTGAAGGAGGTTAAAAAAAATTAGACTTTTTTTTTTTGCTTCCTTACCACCCTTTTGTTCTCTCTCTTTTCTTCTTTCTCTGTGTTCCATTAACACCCCTATCATAGAACTGTGTGTGCGTGTGTGTGTGTGTTTTTAAAGTATACTACTGTATTTCACTTTCGACACCCTCCCTTACTCGCCCCTGCCACTTCTTCCTAATACAGCAGTTATATTATGAGACTGGTGGTCTTCTCTTCTTTACAGCGTTAGAGAATAATTTGTGTGTGTGTGTGCGTGTGTGTGTGTGTGTTTGTATAAGTAGGAGAGGGGCACGATGCAGCGAAGTTGTATCCAGCAAGGGAATAATTCTGATAGTAGGCCTTGAGCTGAGCAGGAGTGAGATACCTTTAGACAATTTAGGGCTGCCTCCGCTCACATCCCTTTTGGGGTCAAAGTGGCAGAGTGACTTGATAGAAGTTCATCTGTCGCAGGCAAATGCAAAAAAGTTTTTCTTGCTGACCAGAGAGTTCAAGTGTTGGGGCTTCTTTTTTCTTTTCTTTTTCCTTCTTTCTTTTTTTGTGGAAGAGGCTGAAAGGGAAAGCGGGGAGCCAGGGAAGGGATGTTCCAAATGAGCTTTGCTTGAACACTACCATTCAGGGCCAGCAGTGAGCTGGGCAGAAGTAATGTGATTCGACACTACACGGTTTATCATAATCTGGTTGTAAGCTATAGACCCTGTAACGCTGACTGAGGAGAAGTATCCCTTCCCTCCAGTCACTTCGATGTGATCCATTTTTAGGAGTGGATTAGATAAATTCTGGCATTTGAGAGGTAGGAAGGAGGGGGTGCTGAGCCCGTGGGGGGTCAGACCTCTCAGAAGGAGAGTTTTGAAGTTTGGGCTCACTTCTGACCATCAGGACGCCTGTGAGGATTGGGGATTTAAGTTCAGGGAACTGAGAGAGGGTTTGGGTGCCCCGAGCTGGGGGTGAGTAAGGCTGTGGGTTCCCACTGGGCGGCGCCGGGAGGGGGCGTAGTGCCTGCCTGTGGGGCAAGCCCGCTGCCCGTGCCAGGCGGCCCACGTGCTTTTCCCCTGCCTTCTGACATCCGTGAACTTTTGGTTGTTGTTGTTGGCAGAATTACACGAATACCCTCAAACAAGCAAACAAACCAAAACTTAAATACTGAACATATTTGAATAGGAGAACATTTTCAGTTTAATCTAAAGCATAACTCCAGCTTCTTCGGAGATACGGTTTCCTCTCACGGCTCAGGGAAACGTAGCCTTGATTTTGGTTTCAAACTGCTTTTAGATGGAGGCTGTTATGTCTTGAACTTGGTCAGGGGAAGCCAAGTATATGTCGTTCCTTTCCCTTTTCATATATTAAAA